CTGTATGGTTAACCATGTAGGAATCCAGCCCCCTTAAACACCATGCCACTGTTGGCCCTATATGTGTTTTCTTAACATCGTGCTTTGGTCATTTGGAAAATATTAGTTTAATGAATTATTCAGCTCTTCCAAACAACTGACACATTTCACTGTACAATGTCAAAAGACCATATTTGTTAATGTCATCATCAACCTAATCAAAAAATCTTTAAGTATTGAGAAGCTATCAAGCTCATGGGGTGGAAACAACTTTTTCAAAATTTGTTTTGACTTGAAAGTTTAAAATCTAGCATCGACAGTAAATACTGACTATAGTTGTTTCCCTTGTCATGATAGGTTTACTTCTTTCATCTTCCAAAAATGGCATGCCAAATACCTAAGCGTAATAACCAGTTTACCAGACATTTCTTTCAAGTAGAGATGATATTTTAAAAAAATAAAATAATTCCCTACTAAGTTCAACTTGCAGCTTAAAACACCAATGCTTTGAAACCCTAACACTATCCCTGAACCCTAAACCTAACCCTAACGCTATCCATAAAACATAACACTACACCTAACTCTTTCTTTTCTATTTCTAATTCAAATATTCAAGTACCTGCTATTTGACAAATGCTATTTTAGGTACTAAGAAATATACCAATAATTAAAACACAAAATGTCTCTGCTTTCATAAAGTTTAAATTTGAAAAAGCAAGGTAGAAAAAACAAATAGAAAACTGATAAATGTATACAATGTTGGGTAAGGATAAGTACTATAGAAAAAAATAAGAGAAAAGGGATGGAATAATTGGAGGAAAGATATTTTATAAGATGGTGAGAGAAAGCTACTAATGACATGAGGTATGAGATTTACACAACTATAGCATAGCTGTCAGTGACTTAGACTGGAAACTTTGAAAATAAATATTTGTTTTTCCATAAATATGTATCTAATTAAGTGCCAACTTTGAAAAAATGATCTACTGAAATATTACCTCTACTTAAAGTTTTTGTTATATTTTTCCTTCTCAAGAAAGTAAATAGACCTTTAGTCTCTGAAGGTAGTAGATTCTCAAAGCTTAGTTGCAATGTAAAATTAGAAACTTATCAATGCATTCTGCATACTCTTTCAAATAAAAAATAATTTGCTTAGGGAGCAGTGGGTGGTGTAGTGGTTAAGGCTCTGGACTCCCACATGACTGACCAGAGTTCAAGTGCCCCAACCAGCACCTTGAAAATCATACCTAGCACATGTGCATGCATGCCCAAAATCCCAGTAGGAGACTAAAGGGGAAAGGATTGTAGTGTGGCCATCCACCCTTGGGAGTGATTTCTCACTTTCTTTTTCTCTGTCTCTCTGAGAGCACGCACACCCAATGGCAAAACCCTTTATTAAAAAAATTTGCTTATCTTGCACTTTGAATTGATCTCTTATCTATGCAGTATTATTTTTAGTTTTTTGCCAAAGGGCACATACACTTCCCAGAGAGAGACAGAGAGAAGATGAGAGAAGGAAAATGAAAAAACACCCCACATAGTGAAATGGTCACATCACAATCTCTTCTACTCTAATTCTCCTTCTGAGATTTTGGGACACATGCACACATACCTGTGTATTTTCAAGCTGTTGGGTCTGGGAATCAAACTGTATGGTTAACCATGTAGGAATCCAGCCCCCTTAAACACCATGCCACTGTTGGCCCTATATGTGTTTTCTTAACATCGTGCTTTGGTCATTTGGAAAATATTAGTTTAATGAATTATTCAGCTCTTCCAAACAACTGACACATTTCACTGTACAATGTCAAAAGACCATATTTGTTAATGTCATCATCAACCTAATCAAAAAATCTTTAAGTATTGAGAAGCTATCAAGCTCATGGGGTGGAAACAACTTTTTCAAAATTTGTTTTGACTTGAAAGTTTAAAATCTAGCATTGACAGTAAATACTGACTATAGTTGTTTCCCTTGTCATGATAGGTTTACTTCTTTCATCTTCCAAAAATGGCATGCCAAATACCTAAGCGTAATAACCAGTTTACCAGACATTTCTTTCAAGTAGAGATGATATTTTAAAAAAATAAAATAATTCCCTACTAAGTTCAACTTGCAGCTTAAAACACCAATGCTTTTCCTTGAAAGAATCATCGAATTATAGTATGTAACTTAGTGCTTTATATAGAGTGCACATTTGGGCACCAAGAATATTAATAAAACATTTACTTAAGGGTCAGTATTTAATAAAATTAATCCTTGTTACTGCTTCATCAAAAACCAAGGACATTCTTAAATAAAAATGGCATTGTTTTTACTGCAAGATATTTACTGCTTTCATGAAGGCTCAAGGACTTTGTAAAATGAAAGTGGCATTGTTTTTCCCGTGAGATATGGCAGTAAAGAATACAATACCTACCCGTTCGGTGCGACTGCCTTATTTGCACGAAAGCACTAGAAGTTTTACCCACCATTGTGTTTTCAACATCAGGGTAAATGTTGACACAATGGATAAAGCAAATAGTACCCTTGTATGATTATGAGAGCGTTTTGACCTCGTGAATCCTAGGAAAGGATCCTGATGGAGCAATATTTCTAAAGCACAATTTTTATTATGTCATTCCCTTGCTCAGAAGTTTCCAAGTGCTCATCCTTGCCCACAGAGGATTTTGAAAATCATGCTTTTCAATCTGGAATTTAAACTTGACACAATCTTACATCAGTGTATCTGTTCGTTTCATCTGCCACTTCATGCAAAGTGGCTGTAGATAAATGAAGCTACTCCTAGTTCTATAATCTATCTTGGATGTTTGCAGTTTCTGTTGGGTCATTTTGCTATTTCTTTCTGCTGAAATTCCTCACCTTCTTTTACATTTTTGACATTTCAAATCCTGCCTTGTTTACAAGGTTCGAGTTAAATGAGACCTAAGTGGTATGAGAGATCCGGCCTGTGAATGCACACAGCACTTTACATCTCTCATGTACCACTCGCTCTCCGCCTGGTAAAAACACTTCACATTCCCTGAAACCTGGAATGACTCCTTACACACAGATCATACTTAGCAAATACTCGTTCAAGAAATGAGTGTTTGTTGCATTCATTTCCATGTTCCACTGAAGCAATCGTATGAGATTGTTAGCTGAGGTTAGAGTTGATTTCTTTGTTCCCTGAATAAATTATTTTCTACCACAAAACTCATTACTGTACAAAGCAATTCAACTCACGACCTTAATCTTATTAGTCAGTCTATTCTCCTTAACATTATTACACTTGTGTCAAGACCTGCTAACCAAAAGCGTAAGTTAAAACACTTTGAACCATGTAGAAGAACATCAGTTTTTTAAAAGTTATCTTTGAAGGTTTATCGAGGCATTATTACAATTTAGTTATTTTCCTTAAATACCCAGTAAGTTACTCAAAATAAAGAATAACCCCCTAAGCATGGCTATCTATTTGCTTTCTGGTTTCAGACTTAAAGTAGTGTGATATGATTACAAAATGCTCATACCCAAATACTTAGTGTGGATGAGTATGTAACACAAAAACAAACTGAATATGTTGCCTATAATTTGGATTTGAGATGAAATAAAACTTGTCTTCAAGGGAATCTCAGAGAGCTAGTTTCTTTTTACAGACACCTTGAAAACAAGTTAGACTGTAAAAGAAAAAAAAAAGTTTCTATTCATTTTTACATACGTCTATCTCCATTTGGATAAAATCTCCTGTCATGTCTTCAGTGATTATAGGTAGGGAAGAATTAATATATATTCTTATTTGCAGCAGGTAAGAATTATTGTCTTTAGAATTACTGTCTTTAGATCAGGAAGAAATGTGTATTTATTTTCTCTCAGGGTAAAATGGTATGTATAATGGATATATGAAAAAGTTATGAATAAAAGTGAAAGCTTCTGATATGACCAATCAAATCATTATCTTCTTTTTAATTATGTTTTGCTTCTTTTCGGACAGAGTCAGACTGTATAGTGATCCTTCTGCCTCAGTTTCCCCTAGTCACTGAGATTCCAGGGGCATGACCACCATATCCGGCCTTTAGGTGGGACAGGAATTGAACTCAGGCTTGTCATGTGGTGCAGCCTGTGGAACACAACATCTTAGCAGGGCACACTGCCACTACTGGCCCTCCAATAGTTCATTGTAGGGTTAAATAACAACTATTCTGATGTAAGCAAGCCAACCGTTAAGTCCTCGCTGTGCTAAATCTAACGGTCTAGAGGACAATCCAGCAAGTTTTCATGTTAGTTCTGGAACCAAAATTCAGAAGAGCTCCTCCTTTGGTCTGGATGACTTTACAAACTCTACCAAATAGTGCTCTCCTTGCTCCGTAACGAACCAAAGCTGGACAGCACTGCCCTTAAAAGCTTTGGCAGCAGAATCTCAGAGAGTCTATAGAGATCTCGGGTGACAGACGTTCTTTTTGCTATCATCCTCTTTGCCCACAAAATGGATGCTGCTAGGTAGGATCAAGAGTCAAGTGGATGTAGGATGGCCTCTTGTTGCAGTTACTATCACCACAGCTCGATCCAATTCAGCTGTTTCTGGAAGGTTCTTCCCCAAGTATTTGGGAAGGTGGAGAGCAATCTGTTCCCTTTCCTACCCACTCACTGCTCTGTTTGACCTAACCTTCTCTAGGCCAGTTGTTTCCTAACCACTCACACAGCCTCTGCCCTTCAACACAAACTTGTTTCCAGGAGAATTTGTGGGGACGGTTTCCCTTGTGTGTTGCTTCATAGTCTTAGAACTTCATAGTCTTAGAACTTGTACTTTTCCTAAGACTTTTTTTTTTCCCATTATTTGGTGGGTATTGCCCCTGACTATGTCAGTGGACTTGTGTGAAATGGAATCATGCCCTGCGTAACTCAATCCATTTCACAAAATTGATAGAGTTAAGATGACGCTCTTTAGTCTTCTCACCCTATGTGACTATCCAAGTGTGTGCTTTAAAATTTATTTTCTTTGACTGTTCTCTTCGGGCTGTTAATATTTTTATTATGTTTCTCCTAGTTGGGTACACAATGAACGATCTCATTTTTGAATGGCAAGATGAAGCACCTGTACAAGTGGCGGAAGGACTCACTTTGCCGCAGTTTCTGTTGAAAGAAGAAAAAGATTTACGATACTGTACCAAACATTACAATACAGGTAGGAGGTGACTCTTCCTCCTCACACTTCTAACTTGTGATCTTAATTATTTGTGACTTTCTGTTTTCCATAGAGCATAAAGTGGATGCATTGGAAACTTTGTGGATACATTGACTCAGTCCATGTCCTTACATGATTGGTTTGTATGGGACTAGAGAAATGCTTGGTGTTCAATTCTATTTAAATCATTTCTTGTGTGCAGCATTACTTCCATGGTAATGATGTTTCCAACAATGCTCCTTTACTTTCTATGTTAGCAAAGAAATGTGGCTTTTTTTAAAAAAAAAATCTTTCTTGGGCAGTAAATACCATCTGCTAGCAAAATAAAAGAAATTGCTTCTGTTTAAAGGCTTGTTTACCTAAACTTGCCCTCTGCCATATTTTCATTCATTTCAAGATATTTTAAACAAAGCATGTACTACCTACACTAACACAAGAGACTTTTGCCTTTGAGGGTAGATAACAGATACAGTTATCAACCCCAAGGATGGAGAAACTCAATGTGGTATTGTGTATTCATGAAATATGTTCCCTTCTCTCAGTTGTTATGCCTGAACTAGTCCCACAATACCTATGCTAACTGCCCATAACCTGTTCCTTTGAATCTCATTCGGCTGCCCAAGAGCATCGCTCCCATGTGATGAGGGCATGACCTCCCACTAGCATCAGCTGCTGCCCTTATCATTTTATTACAGTAAGTATGATTCATCTTGGGCTCAGCACTTTCCAGAATTGTAATCTGACCTTTCACTACACAAGTGCCCAGTCCCTCTTATCTCCTTAACAAATTCACAATCTCTGAGCTAAAAGACATTGCCATTTTCTTAAGTCAGAGATGAAGCTGATATCCAGCCTGTTAGGGAGTTCAAGGTTAACATCTCAATGCAAAGATAAAGGCTGGCAAGTCTCATAGCAATATCTTTGCTCCGTTCACTGGGGGTAGTTATATTAATAGTATCTTTTCAGAGAAAAGCTAAAATTCCTCTGAGTTGTGTTAAAGAGGTACATTTGTTTCCTATGTTGCCAAAAGAAACTATCAATAAGCTTGATGGCTACAGTAGCAAAAATGTATTCTTTCACAGTTCTCTGGAGGCTAGAATTCTGAAGTTAAGGTGTCAGCAAGGCCATGCTTTCTTTCAAGACTCCAGTGAAAAATTCTTCCCAGCCTCATTTTGTTCTTTTCTTTTCTTTTGCAGGGGGTAAGGTGGGGGAGATTTTCGTATAGCCCATGCACACTCACTGGAGAGAGAGAGAGAGAGAGAGAAAGCAAGAAATCACCCCTCAAGGGGATGGCCATGCAGCAATCTGTTCTCCGTTTTCCTGGGATTTGGGGCATGCATGCATGCACGTCTGGTGTGTTTCAAACCTCCTTGTCTGGGACTTAAACCATTGTTGGCCATGTGGGAGTCCAGTGCCTTAACTACTATGCCACCTGCTGACCCTCTGCTTCGTAAGCTTCCTATTTCTGACATCCCTTAACTCCTCATCCAGCAGATGCATCAGTTCACTCTCTGCCTGTAGTCACATGCCATTCTCCCTCTGTGTTCCTGTCTCAGTGTCCAAATTTCTCCCTTCTTATTAGGACACCAGTATTATTAGATTTGGGGTCCACCTTAATCTAGCATAATCTCATTTAACTTGATTACATCTGTAAAATATCTTATTTCTAAATAAGTTAATCTTCACAGGTTCTGGGTAGACATAAACTTTAGAAAGATGTCATTCAAACCAAAACAGAAGGTGAAGTTGTGAATATTACCAAGGAATGATTTTTTTTTCCTTTCTTTTTTTCTGGAGAAGCTTTTGCAATAGGGCGTATGCACTTGCCAGAAAGACAGAGAAAGACTGAGAGACAGAAAGTGAGAAATCACTTCCCGGGGAAATGGCCACACTGCAATTCCTTCTCCTCTATTCTCCTCTAAGGATCTTGGGCATGCACGCATATGTGCCCTTGAATTTAAGCCACCGGGTCTGGGACTTGAGCCACAATCGACTACATGGGAGTCCAACAACATAGCCATTGTGCCAACTGCTGGTCCCAACCAAGGGATGAATTTTTATGATACAGGATCTCAAGACTCTTTTATCACAGAATAAATAAATTTATGTACTTTCAGTGAGCTATCTACCAAGCTATTATAGCTTAGAGGAGAAGAACTTATGTTTATGAATGACAACTAAAAGCAAGAAATTGGACAGATTTTTTTCTTGGGTGATATTATAGTGATCTCACATCTTTACAGTGTAGGTGCACAATAACATGTCCCCATTTTTTAAAAAAATAATTGTTTATTTAACTGTTTATTTGTTATTATTAATTTTTAATTTGATCAGAGAGAGACAGAGAGAGAGAGAGAGAAAGGGAAAGTGAGGAAGCAAGCTGACAGGTCCGGGACTCAAGTCACGGTCATCATTTGGGAGCCCAGTACCCTAATCTCACTACCACCCAATGGCCCCACTTGCCTAAAATTTTATGGAGACCTTTTACATATTATATAAAAGAATCTGAGCACGTCCTCAATCAAGTACATAATTCATTTGGCTCTGACCAGAAGCTCTGTTTTATAATTACTACTACAAAGCAAAGGAATTCTCTGTTAATTCTCATATTTTCCAGTGTTCGGCTCAGATACTGTATCATTCTTTAATTATGTGAAGACAAAAAAGCAAGAAACATTAGATTGTAGAAGACTTGTAAATACTGCACCCTTTTCTTCTATAAAATAAAACACTTAGAAGTTAGAATTCTTTTCACACCCAAGTGAATTGCACAAAACTTAGAGGTTTTATTCAGGTTTATTTTCACGATCCAAAAGTTATTCGTTAGGTTCGTGCTCAAGTCCTGTGATCTGTCTTCTGATAATTTCTCTGAAATCTTCCATCTCTTCCCTGTGCTCTGTAATCTCACCACAATGGCTTACTCACATACACCAGATATACTCAGTCCCCCAGGCCTTTTTACTTGATCTTTCTCCTGCACATAAAGTTTCCCCTCAATTTTTTCCATGTCTCATACTCCTTCAGCGTTCTAAACGATTTCCGTAGCAACTCCGGAAATCTCTCTGTAATAAGCAGATGTTAAATCCCTCTCTACTTCCTACTTTCCCTGTCAGAAATTATCTCACTTTCAGGTTTACTTGTTTGATATATGTTTCCCTTAATGCCATAAGTTTGTATTATATTTACTCTGTTTGTATCGATATTTCGATAATTTTTGCCCGACTTATTAATTTTTCCTTTTGGAACCACACACAGAGTATTGATAGTCATAGTTAGTAATGGTGTGTATATATGTGTACACCTTTATTTTCCTTCCCAGCAATATTTATGAAAACACTTTGTACTTAAAAATGAGAGCTTTTTTTCTCATAGTTACATAGAACTCAAATCATTTATTCGATGTATCCAAATGACTAGGAATTGTTAAAAAATATGCTATGAGATTACTCAGTGGGTTATTTAACTGCGATATCATTAAACCGCTGGTCCCCAAATCAAAAGTATTTTCATGCAATTCTGTAAGTATTTGGTAAGCTGATCAAATATCCTGTGTCACTGTCATGAATGCCTAATTGGTAGGCTCTTAGTAGTGGAATTCAACTTCCCTAGAGCTTATGAGCTCTTTCTTTTTCTTTTTCTTTTTTTTTTTTTTTTTGAAGAGGTTTTTGCTATAGGGCACGTGTGCTCATCAGAAAGACAGACAGACAGATAGAAAGTGAGAAATCACCCCCCCTGGGACTGAGACATGGCCATCCATCCCAGGAGGGTGATTTATCACTTTCTGTCTGTCTCTCTCTGTCTTTCTGGTGAGTGTATGCACCCTATAGCTAAGACTCTCAAAAAAAAAAAAAAAAGAAAAAAAAAAAAAAAAAAAGAGAGAGTTTTGAGCTCTGGAATCATATTCATCCTTTTCCCAGGAGTAGTGCCCCTGCCTCGCTTGTGTGATGAGTGCACAGCTGTGGCCTGAGTCACGTTAATAGAAGCTTTGCACTGAACCTACCTACTAATACACTAACAGCTTTCGGTAATGCACTCTTTAACATCTATCTTTCATGGTTGGGTCAGAGAGTGTTAGCTAAAGAGCAGAATGTTGAGGCCAGCAGGTGACATATTGTTAAGGGGCTGGACTCTCACATTCCTGACCACCACGGTTTGAGTCCTGGATTTGGCTGCTTGTGAAAAACCATGCTGAGGGAACCAGCAGATGGGGTAATGGTTACGTAGCTGAACTCCCATGTAGTAGACCGCAGTTCGAGTGCTAGACCTGACAGCATAAAATTCATACTGGGCATGTGTGCATGCATGCCCAAAATCCTGAGAAGAGTATGGAGGAGAATGGATTGCAGCATGGCCATCCTCCCTGGGGGGAAGGTGGGGGGTGATTTCTCACTTTCTGTCTCTCTGGCAAGCACATGCACCCTATAGCAAAAATTTCTTAAAAAAAATAAAATCATGCTGAGTGCATGCGTATGCATGCCCCAAATCCCAAGAGGATAATGGAGGAGAAAGGATTGCAATATAGCCATCCCTCTAGGGTGGGTGATTTCTCACTTTGCCTCTCACTGTTTCTCTCTCTCTCTCTTGTGAATACACAAGCTCTATGGCAAAAACATACATACATACATGAATAATAATGGGAAAGAGAGAGACTAAAATCAGGCCAGCAGGTAGCATGGAGTTTAAAGCACTAGATCTCAGTGACCAACTGCACAATTCATGTCTTAGACCTGGTGGCGTGAGAACCAAGCAGGGCACATGTTCATGTGCCCAAAATCTGGAAGGGAGAATGGAAGAGAAGGGATTCTAGCGTGGCCATCCTCTCTGGCCATCCTTTGGGGTGGTTTCTCATTTCCCCCTTTCTCTCTCTGTCCTCTTTCTGGCAAGTGCACAGTCTTATAGCAAACTAAAAAAGACAAGGGAGAGGGACAATAAAACTAAGAATTGAGTGGTTTAGAAGAACATTTTTTCTAAGGAGAAATAACACAGAGTAGCAGATATAATAGAATAGAGGGTAAACCAGGAAATAGGTAGAAATATTATCTTAATATTTAATGAAAGCATAATTAGCTCCTATATTTATTAACATAATGGTGATCAGTGGTAAAAACAAAAAGGTGTATATATGTAGAACAAATGCATCTCACTTAGTTTTAGTAAGTTTGTTTCCCAGAGTTATTCATGGGAAATAACACATTTTTCCCTATGTGTTTGCATTATTATTTAAGAAACAATTACTCTTCAATTATATTTATTCCTCAGAACTTTAAAGTAAATAGAAGGGCCTCTGGAACAAGTATCACCTGGTTCTTAATAAACGCTTATATATATCAGAAATAGTCAATGAGTAAAGATCTTCATATGATAACTAAACTGTCTCCTGTTTTCTTCCTCTCTCCCTCAGAAACAATGTTAGAATGAAGTGAAATAACAGACTGTAACATGTGGTTACAGTCTCTTTTCATCAGAATAGAAAGTTGTTATTTAAGAATTATTATTTTATTTATTATTATATTTTTTAAAATTTGCCATAGGGTATACATGCTCACTAGAGAGAGGCAGAGAGAGAGAAAGAAAGTGAGATAGCAAAGCCATCAGATCCCAGGACTCAAACTGTGGTTGGCCATGTGGTAAGTCCAGCACCTCAACCACCATGATACCTGCTGACCCCAGAATAGAAAGTCTTATGATAACGTTATCATGAAACTGACATTGTAATATGTAATGTCGTAACAAAGACCTACTTTTACTAATGGTTGCATTTATTTTACAACCAATTAGGAAAGTTTACATGCATAGAAGTACGATTCCATCTTGAGCGGCAAATGGGATACTATCTGATCCAGATGTACATTCCCAGCCTCCTGATCGTTATTCTCTCCTGGGTTTCATTCTGGATCAATATGGATGCAGCTCCGGCCAGGGTAGCTTTGGGAATAACCACTGTGCTGACGATGACGACGCAGAGTTCGGGATCACGGGCTTCTTTACCAAAGGTAAGTGCACTGAATGGAAATAGACCTATTTGCACCTATAAAGAAGTCATTGTCAGTTTTTGTCAGATCTTTTCTATAGTCTTTATTATTTATTAATAATTTTACAAGCAATATATAACTATGGCATAAAACTTGTGAGCTATATAGAAGTCCATGACAGAAGAAATTCTACATGCCAGTGATATCTGGTATTCACGATTTATGTTAAGAACCTCAGTTAAAGTTCAATAATGCTCTCATATGCTATGGAATTCTTTGTATTTTTTAAACATTTATAAATAGATTTAACATTTATTTAAGTTGTACCTACATGACAATTTAAATGGCAACATAGTACTTCATTGCATAGATATACCATAATATACTTCATCTTAGAAGTAGCACCATAATGAACATTTATATTGGGTCACTGGAAAAGTTTTTATGTATTTTTCTGTGTTTCTCTATGCAAAAATGCATCATGGCTTTTCTGATGACTCAATATTATGTATGTGTGTGTGTGTGTGTACATGTGTGCTGTATATGTATGCCTACCTATATATATGTGTATATAGATACACATATGTATTTACAGATACATACATATATGATGGGACTTCAACAAGTTTGTGGAAAAATGGAATCAAAATATGAACTCATTTTTGTACAAAAATATTGAAAACCATGTAGTTATTTCATGATATGCAATTTCCATGAACTTTTCAAAGACCTCGTATATAACATATACATATTTAGTCTAATTTTCTTAGTATACATTCTCAGATCTAGAACTGGCACAATGAGAGCTAGCTGCATCAGTATGTATTGCCAGATTCATCTCTAAAAAAACATTACAGCAATAACATCCTCGCAAGTTCTGTATCAGAGTGTCCATACTGCCGTACTCTAGATTAAATATGGTATTTATTATATTTGTATCTTTTTTCTTTTTGTCCATTAAGTAGCCATAGGTCAATTGGTAGGTAAATTTATCTGAATCTATTATTTTAATCCATGCTGAGCTGCCAGAATTAAAATAAAAATATTTCCTCCATGAGGTTTGTGAAGGAGCTTCATTAAATATGCTGGAAGAAAACGTAGGAAGTTCTTTTTATCCATTTAGCTGCATAGAAATTGAAAATTAATTTTTCTCCTGGAATGACTGCTAAGAAGTTTCTATTATATTATCTAAATTAAGTAATCCTGTAAAGTTTCCAACAAGCTTTGCTTTTATTTGCATGGAAATGATATCTTTCAGTGTAATAAAATGATATTAACTTTTTGTGTGTATTTGATACTATCTACTTGACACACCAAATAAATTATAAATCTATCATCATGGCTCCTTTAGCCTTTTCTATGAATTGCATTTCATGATTCAATTTATTAGGTTAATATGCTTAAGTAAATAAAGGTTGGGAATAGGATTCTTCACCATTAGAAATGTTACTTATGTAGGAAGAACTTGGTATTTAATAATGCTCATTCTGCCTCATTAAGATATAATGGTTGTCTTTCAAAGTAATGTTTAATTTTATCAACAGCTGCATTTTCAAAACGATCCATATCATTTACTGTTTTATAAAATGTTGCCCTTGTAAAAATTCTAAATCTGCTTATAAATTTAAGCTAATAAGTGGCAATGCTCATTTATATATGCATCAATGTCTCAAGGGATCTGGGTAATAACAGAAACTCCATAGTTAATTTGTAAAGGAAATCTCTAGGTTACGTGTTCATCTTCCTCAGTGAAATAGAAGTATAAGCTCATTTGTTGTGTAAGTGTTCAACTAGAGAGAAGAGAGCAAAGTGCTTCTTTTAAGGCACAGCAGAAAGCGCTCCTACAGAGAGTAAGGTGGAATGAGGAGATCATGAAGATATAATTAGAGAAAGCAGAAATTTGAACAAAGACAGAATAGACACACGAATTAAAATTTTTAAAGAAAGCAAAAAACTTTTTTAAAAAGCAAAAGAAGGTCTATGATGATTTCATACTTTTTCTCAAGAAATAGGAGAGAATTTTTAAAGGCATTACTTTCAACCAGATCTCAGGGAAGCAATAAATTTTCAACACACAGGCAATTATACCCATGCATTTATACAAAACCTCCAGCTCTTGGAGCAGAGAGACAATGACCACTGGAAATGCAATGATCAGTTTAACCCAGCCACAAAAACAAAGACTAGCAAAGTCTTTGAAGGTAAGGTTACTACAATTTCAAGAACTTTGTGATAGATAAGGAAAGGGGAGTTAAGTGTATTTGTTACATACAATAGAATTTAGGAAGACAGACTCTGAAGACCTAAAATAAACAATTAATCTTACTGAATGAAACCATTTGAGTAAGTCAAAAATATTTTTTTAAAATACAGTTCTGATTTCGTAATTTTGGGGGTGCTAGAAAGACAACAGGGAAGGGTTCACTCTTAACATTTCGAACCAGATATCTAAAACCATGCACCGTAAGATATGCTGTTTTCAATCTTATAAAAGAATTCCTCAATTGCCTGAAAATCTTGCCACTGAAATGACCACCATTTATTCACCTACTAAAAAAATTCTAGGAAGCAAGAAAACAAATTAAATTCAAGAAAACAATAAAATACCAAACACAGGAGAAAGAAACACTAAATAATTTATAACTGCTTAGTGTTTTATCCAGGCTCTGTGGATAAAACATACACTCTTATCTCCTGTAGAATAAGAAGGAGGTTGGAAATTCATTACATAAGACTCAAAACAAACTCAAAGAATACACTTCAACTCTTTGAAAACCACAGAGCTGAGATTCCTGGCTAATATTTTCTACTGCATTGGCTTCTACAAGTGTCACTATAAATCAAGCATGTAACAGCCCATAACATGAACACACCTATGATTTGTTCTTTGGCACTTGGAGCTATTTTGGATTTTTGCAGTGTCTTCATCAGTTGGTCAGGAGAGGATGACATGTGTATTCTATTGCCAGCAAGTTTAAGATTATATAACCTTAGGAGCACTTTACACCATGTGCTTGGAGCACAGAAAAAAATAGCAGTGGTAATGGAGTGAGGGCTTTATAGACTTGGGTAATGATTATGTTTATCTGAGGTGCAGTGATAGACCACTGAAGAATTCCAACAAGGGCTGTGATCACTCTGACTTGTGTATGAAGATCAGGTGGGTGGGGACACGAGGAAGCAGAGAGCCCACCAAGTAATCTATTGTAGTCCCTAGCAGATGGTCAGCTAGTAAGGTTGTTCGTAGCAAAGGTAGAGAATAGCAGATAGACTTAGGAAGAAGTTGATGTTTTTGAGAATATACATTTGGAGATGAAATAAATAGGAATTACTTGTGAATTGGACATTGAGGATTCAGGAAAGACAGGAGTCAAGGGTAGCATTCGTGTGACGTTCTGATGGTATCCACTGATGGGAAAGATTGGGGGAAAGGCTGATCCAGGGTTCTTCTTTGAATGTGTTTACTTTGAGATGTTTATAAGACAACAACATGGAATGATTAAAAACTAAGGACTTCCTTGCCTCAGGCTTTAGAAAGTAAACTGCAAGGGGAGCAGAGAAGAGGTGACCTTTCTGAGAAGATAAGAAAGCTCAGAAAGATGGGAAAAGAAGATGTCTATCTGTGGTTCTCTTCTTCTCTAGCTGAAAGTGGGCTTAGACATGTCATCGTTTTCTCTCTCCTTTCCTCTCCCAGAACCATCTCTACCCAACCACAGAATAGGACAGTCTGGTGAAAGGCAAGACCACTTACCCCAAAACTCATCCCAAACTCCATGAGATCCCAATATTTTGTTATTTTCTTTAGATATGGAAAAGCAATGATCCTTAGGAGGATTAGATTTTTACTAGGAGTTAAAGAGGGGATAGTAATAATCATTCAATTATTTTCAGTGTAAATTTGATACTAATATCCAGTTAAGATCTTGACACTAAGGGAATTAGATTTTTTGTTAAGTATGGGCATGCATAGGAATGGGGATGGGTAAGAATAAAAAACATCAGCAAAACAGAAAAAACATAATTTTAATTTGGACACTCTGAGTTCTAGAAGGAGTCCACATTAGGAATCTTGGGTGGAAATCTTGGTAGCGCTAGCAATATTATGTACACCTTATTCTTCCTTTTCTGATCTCAGCAATCTTTTGATTCTTATTAGAGACCAACCCTCATCCTTCTTTCCATTCTGTTTTATAGGGACCAACTAAGGACAACTTCAGTACATTTTCCGTTTTGTATCATCTGCAGGACATTGACATGAACACACTAGTTTATCCTTTAAAATGAGCTTTCAGTATACTGTTATATCAAAGACTTTTTAACATAGTGCACTGAACAGACATAAGCATGCTCACACATTCTATATACACTGCATATATTCAGATACTCAGATGTAAACTTAGCAGGGGTAAGGGGATCTCTAGGTTCTGAGTTTACCCAAACCCTGACTTTTAACATTTTATAAGGTTCTTGGCACTGGGAGCTATTTCAATACAGTTTCATCCCAATTATTCTGATAACAAGTAATCCCCAATCTCAATGTCTTATAACACTTATTCATGTTCACAGGCCAGTGAGTCACCTGTGCTTCTTTGGGGCTAGCATGACATTGGCTGAGTGAGGTCTAGACTGTGGGTTCAGGTCTATTTCCTGACTCCCTTCACTTTGGAATAGAGAGGTCCAGTAACAAGTTCTTCCCATGGCAGCTCATGGAGGCAAGAAGGTGGACAGAAACATGCAAGTTTTTTCTCAGAATTGGTAGTCACTTCTGTTCTCATTCCACAAATTATACCAAGTCTTATGGCCACACCAAATCAATGGGGAGGAGAAGTGTATTCCTCTCACAGGGGAGCTGGGGAGAAGATGGGAGGGAAAGGGACTGTACAGTCTTATCTATTTCAGAGCAGTGATTTGACTCTGACTTTTGAGTAAGTACTTACACAGAAGGGAAGAAGTTATCAAAAGAGCAAAGAGAGAGGAATCTTGGGGAGATTCTATTGTATTTCTCTCACTCTGCTCTCACT